ATTCTGGGCTGTTCAAAATGTCCTGACATCATGATGATGAATAATGTGTGTCATTTCAACAAGCAGTGAGGCTTCCCCAACTTATAATTATTGTTATTCAAAATTAACATACCAAATCAGAACCTGAATTTAAAGTATAAAAATATGCCAGTTTTCTCTAGATTTATTGATAACTCTTACAGTTGTATTTTTAAAAATCAACAGGTATTAAATGCCAGACCTTATGAGATGTTAGTACAAAATACACCATGTATCACCAATGAAGTTTCAGATTCTAATGCAACCACATATTTGCTCTAAAATCAGTCAAAAATTATATAAAATTCCATGTTGCTACTTTAATCACGTCAGAGGCTAAATATGTTTGTGATTCAAATTTCAACTGTTGTGAAATACCAGCAGTCAAATATCAGATATTGAGCTCAAATATCATAGGATGCCCATTAAGATTTTAAACATCCCACAAATATTGTATATACAGAAAACATACAGTGAATATTTGGCACCAAAATGATGCTAATTTTGCAGGAAATTTGGGGAATAAATAAATCAGGCACCTGCTAGAAGATGGTCATGTCTGTCATATGTGCCATGACTCTGAAATAATTGCTTTAGGTATCGTTAAATTTTTTTAGAAGGTTTTGTAGTTTCACTGTCTTATACAGTAGGTTGTCTGCAAGAACTGTTCCTTGGGTATTTGGGGAAATTGCATAGGATTGCATTATCCCAGTGCCTGCCGTATTTCTCTGCCATAAGATAACCTTATAATTCCTAATGCTCAATGTCTGCTGGAGGATTACCATTTGCTAATGTAATAGAATCGGTTGTGGACTGAGGCACAGAAGAAGTGGGAGAAGAAACCAATATTTCAAGTAAAATAGGTCAGAAAACATATTTTGACAGAAACGTCCCCCCTCCCTGAAGTCTTGCTATATTAAAAAGCTCTTTTCAGAAGGTTTTCCCCCCCTTCATTTTACACATATCAAATTTTTATTATACATTATTATTCATTCATCAAAGGATATGCTTGTATTCTGGTTTCTGGAAACATCATCTGTAAAAGGTGCTGTTTCTGCAAAGCTGTGAAACACTTCCTTGTGGCGTGTGATACGGGAGTGTTGAGTGATTACACCTCTGGGGTTACTTATGCTACAAAGATTAATTTTGTGTTAGAAAGATTTGTATTTGTAGATGAACATGTTCTGTGATGAGGAATTTAACTGAGGGTTAAATGCCACCTTGAATCCTGGTTTGGGGAAAGAAAGTGGGGTATAAATAAAGTTGACAACAACAACAACAACCTGTTGGATATTGTGTACTTTCACCATTGCAAAAAATATTTGTATTCTGAATTTGAACATATAAACATTTGCTATCTTTCATCCAGTGGTCAAATGATCTTACTGTTTGAGCTACTTATCAATGTACATTTAGAGATGTCAACTTCAAGAAAGTGGAGTTTTGAAATAGGGTCAGTTTATATCAGTATATATGTCATCCTACACATTTCCCTTCCTTCCTTCCTTCCTTCCTTCCTTCCTTCCTTCCTTCCTTCCTTCCTTCCTTCCTTCCTTCCTTTTTCCTCCTCTCCTAGGCTGCACTGCAGAAATAATGCAGTTTGACACCACTTTAACTGCTGTAGCTCAGTGCTCTGGAATCCTGGAATTGTAGTTTGTTTTGGCACCAGAACTCTCTGACAGAGAAGACTAAACAGCTCACAAAATTAAAAATCCCAGGATTCCATAGCATGAGCCATGGTCGTCAAACTGCATTATTTCTGTAGTGCAGATTGGCTCTGAATCTTTTGTGTTCCTTTTCATTGTCATCATACTCTTAAAAGCCAATAAAAGTAATTTTTAAAAAGGGCAACAAAGCCCACAATGCATTTCTGCTACAAGGAGTCAGGGCTAGAATTCACATGGGACCTTATCCCACGGGGCCAAAAGCAGCAAGAATCCACTAAGAATCAGGTGCTATAGCGCTATAGTGTTCCGGGTGATCACGCGACGTCGCTCAGAATCCGCTAAGAATCAGGCGCTATAGCGCTATAGTTTTCCGTGTGATTACACGACGTCGCTCAGAATCCAGCAAGAAACCGCTCGGAATGCAGCATCATTCGCATTCTTTTGAATGTCGGTTTCAGCGGGCATTGCAATAGCGCGAGCTGATCCATAGCGCTATTATAGCGCTAGCGCCATATTTATACTAGTGCTATAGTACTGCAATGATGCTCATATCGCTTTCTTGCCACTTTTGAGAGCAGCGTGGGATAAGGTCCATGGACAGTTACATCTTTGTAAGTGGACTTATATCAGCAGGAAATAGAACTGAGCCATTGTGTAATGTCCATATTCAGCAAAGGAAAGGGCTGCCATTACTAAACTAAAGAGGGAAGCCAATGAAGTGACCAATGTGCAACAGGATCAATACACAATTGGACCGATGCACAATGGGACCTATGCACAACAGATCTGATACACATTGGGACACTCTTGTCTGATAGGCATCTTTACAATTCACTAGCAGGGTTTTTAAGCATTTCTTCTACACAGCTAAGTATATATAAAGTCACGTAACACAGACCATGATAGAGAATTCCAGACAAGGTACAATTTAGAAATACAAAATCCATGACGCAGCAAGATTGTGAGCAAGAAACACATGCACAAAGCCAACAATGGAGCATAGATGAAATGAGAAATGGTTAACGCAGGATGTTATCTCACAGTGCAACTCAAAAAGCAAAATGGATTTCTGAGACAAATCTGCTGGAAAACAGCCAGAAAAACACACCATCTTGTTTTCTCTCTGCATACCCATGTCATTTGTTTTAAAAGTGCTTTTGAATTCAAAGCTTTTGGCTTGATGATATGGTTACAACTGCTGGCTGGCTCTATTTTTAGCCAGACAAATTGTTTTGTTCAGGGCCCAAGAGGACTTCTTTGGATGCTTTCAGGAAACAAACAAACAAACCCCAAACCATCTGAGCTTGGCAAAAGCAATTTACCCCTCCATTCCCAAATAAAGTGACAACATGAATGAAGGCAGACCTTGGAAATATTATCAGGAATGGCTAACATGTTAGCATTAGTTGTTACTTTTGAAATGTATGCATTAAGTGAATGTTGGTTGTAATTTGTGGCAAATACATGCAACAACAACAATGGCTGGCATTTTCCTTGGGACTTCATAAATGGCCTTGCCTTGCACAAAGTTTAGTTGAACAGTTTGGCAAAGTCCGTATTGACTTAGGGGCAGCCATGACTTTACGAAGTAGGTGCATCAGTTGCACAATGATTTCCGGTGGAGTGATTTATACACAATGGCCCAACGTTCAGTGGGTATTGATGTCCATTTTGGTGGCAGCGGAGGGATAAGTAGAACCCCCACAGTATGGCCAGGTAAAATTTGACTCTGATTAAGGTAGAATTATTAATGAGAATTCTAGACAAACTAGGATACACTGCAGGAGTTTGCTTTTGCCTAAGCCTACTGGGAAGGGAATTCCAAAAGAAAATCAGCATGTGCTTTGTAGACTACAGCAAAGCCTTTGAAAGCATAGATCATGAAAGGCTATGGAATGCCCTTAAAGACATGGGAGTGCCAACACATCTGATAGTCCTGATGAGGAATCTGTACTCAGGACAAGAGGCTACTGTTAGAACAGACAACGGAGAAACAGAATGGATCTCAATTGGCAAAGGAGTCAGACAAGGCTGCATCCTTTCACGCTACCTGTTCATCTTGTATGCAGAACATAAGAAAAGCAGGGTTGGACACAGAAGAAGGAGGAGTGAAAATAGGACGAAGGAATATCAACAATCTCAGATATGCAGATGACACTATAGTACTAGTACTAGCAGAAAACCTCACAAACCTGTACTAAGGAACATCACAGAAGAAAGTGCAAAGGCAGGCTTAATGTTAAACATAAAGAAAACAAAAATAATGATCACTGAGGATCTTCACACATTCAAATGAGACAAGGAAGAAATAGAAATAGTAAAAGAATTCTCATACCTGGGATCAAGTATTGATAGAAATGGTGACTGCAGTCAAGAAATCAGAAGAAGACTACGAATAGGGAGAGTGGCTATGAAAGAACTAGAAATTATTCTAAAATGCAAAGATATACAACTCAGCACAAAAGTTAGACTCATACAAGCCATTGTATTCCCTATTACCATGTATGTATGTGAGAGCTAGAAAGTCAAGAAAGAGGATAGGAAGAAAATCAATGCATTTGAGATAATGTGGTGCTGGAGAAGAGTGCTGAGGATCCCATGAACAGCCAAAAGGACAAACAAGTAGATCCTAGAACAGGTCAAGCCAGAAACCTTCCTGGAATCCAAGATGGCCAAACTGAGGCTGTTGCATTTCGGACATATCGTGAGAAGAGATGACTCTTTGGAAAAAAACTATAATGCTGGGAAAGGTGGAGAGAAGTAGGAAGAGAGGAAGGCCACATGCCAGATGGATGGACTCTATGAAGGAGGTCACTTTGGGTATTAAGGGCTTGCAGGAATTAAGCAGAGCAGTGGAGGGCAGAGGGTCTTGAGATGTCTCATCCATAGGGTTGTCATGGGTTGAGATTGACTCGAGGGCAGTTAACAACAACTGGGAAGGGCAAGATTCTGCCCCCTCTTGTCCTCTTCACCTCCTGAGTTGAGTGCAAAGTCTAAACTCAGTCTAAAGCCATTGCAGTCTAAAGCCATAAGCTGAGGAAGAGAGAGAATCTGGGACATTTTTAAAACAGCTGGAAAAGTGGGACAACAGAGGATTGAGACTGTCCATGCCAAATCTGGATAGTTGGAGGATATGTCCTACGGCATTCTGGGATTTGCAGTTTTGTTGTTGTGTATTTTCAAGTCATTTGGACTTATGGCAACCCTAAGGTGAACTTATCAAGGGGTTTTCTTGGCAAGATTTGTTCAGTGGAGGTTTGTCATTGCCCTCCCCTGAGAGAGTGCGACTTGCTCAAGGTCACCCAGTGGGTTTCATGGCCAAGCTGTGAATCGAACCCTGGTCTCCAGAATCATAATTCAACACTCAAACCATTATGCCACATTGTCTCTCGATTTGCAGATTTTTTTGGGGGGGGGGGTAGGTAATTTAGAATTCTCAGCCAGAGAGCTGTAGTGTCTCACCAGACTACAAATCCCAGGATTCCATTGGATGTTGCCATGGAAGATAAAGGTGGAATCATAGCCCTGTAACTGTGCAATGTGAAAGGGCGTCTGATCTGTGCTAGTGAAACTTCTGCTTGACTAGACTGGACTGAGAGATCACGAGTAACATGTGCTCTTGCTTTGTGGATTTGAAAAGTGATGGGAAGCCTTGCTGAATGTAGTAAAGTGACAATCTCATTGGTAGACTGTAGAAGACTGGAGTCAGTCCACTTTTTGATTTAGACTAAAATCATCAAGCCACAGTAGCTTTTAACATGCATCGTTTGACAGTACCAAAAACAGTCCCTTGCAGCCTTAGGTGAAATTATGATAACAAGAGGGAGAGAAAGAAAAAAAGCTATTACTGACACCATGCTTTCATTATGCAAATGATATTAAGATAGGCTGTTCAGATTGCCTGTGGCTATGCTATAATCTCCATGCAGTGATTATAATGTGTCAAACTTAGTCATTTTGATTATGACATGTTAATTACATGCCATCCTCATGCAGACATGAATATTACTCGCAGTCAAAAGAAAACCACAAATTGGGGGCATTGATTGTTCTGTTTTGTTTGGTGTGGGTTACCCCCCCCCTTGTTGTTGATACTGTTGTTGATGAAATGGATTGAAAGATAAAGAGCTTTGTAATATTGGCAAAGTCATTAAAGAGAATCCAAACTTGGCAAGGCTTTGTGTAAATTGTTCAGTGTAGCCAGATCTAGGCATGGACAAGTCTGTCGATTTTGTTTGCTCTCTGTTTTTCTCTTCTTAAGGCCCTCTTGTCCCACTTTTGCATTTCTTTTAAAAATCCATAGAAGAGTTTCCACGCATTTGGGCACACATTTCTCCTAACAGATACCATTTTGTGAACATATTTGCTACATGTGAAAGATGAGACCCTACATCAGCATACTCTCCAATATTTCACAGATGAAAACCAGGACCTGCATAGCCAAGCAACACCAGAGTGTGGTCAAGATGGCAAATGCTATTAATGAAGAATACATGAGCTAGAAAAGGTTGCAGCAGTTTGTTTTTACCTTAGCCCACTAGGAAGGGCAAGATTCTTCCCTCTGTTCCTCGCTCTCATCTGCTGAGTTGAGTACAAACGGCGTTTGCACTCTGAACTCGGTTTGCAGAAACTGAAGTAAACTGAGGATAAAGGGCAATAGTGGGAGGAGAAGACAGAAACTGGGCTATTTTAAAAGCTGCTGAATATGTGAGATGGCGGAGGATTACAGTGAGCCCTCTGCATTTGCTGAGCTTATGGGATCAGGACCTCATGAAAGTGGGAAAATTGCAAATAAAAAAAAAATCACTATTGTTTTCCATAAGAAAACACACCTGTCTAGGAATTTCTAGGCCTTCCGGCGCAACTCTATGGTCAACATTCAGCAGACGTTGTCCGTAGAATCATGCTGGAGGATTGACAAATACCTGGAGAAGTGTTTTCTTCTTCTAGGAATCTCTAGGTACTCCATTGTGATACCATTATGTCTTGCAGAGTTGTGCTGGAGGACCTAGATATTCCTAGAGAGTGCATGTTAATCAAATCCACCGATAATCAGATCCACAAAAGTCAAAGCCACAGATGTGGAGGGCTGACTGGAATTGGAACTGTCCCTGGCAAATCAAGACAATTGAAAGGTTACATAGCATAAATTTTCACATAGGGGAGTAATGTATTGATTGTGCCATGCAACACTAGTGAGGAATGGTAGTGTTGCAAAACTGGACCCTTCCAATGTACAGCCAAATGGACAACCAAATGTATATATGCATACTCATGGACTGCTATGCATATCAATGCCCATCTGTATGCACATTGACATCCATGTACAACTATGCTCTATGTGGACATTTCACATCAGACAAAAAAAATATGTAATCGCTTCCCGGGGGTGGTGGTGGCTTAGACATGTTGAAGACATCAAAATTGTCCTGTTGAGGCATTTTTAATAGTGCAAAAAATGGTTGGGCAGGTAATTGCATGTTCTCAAGTTTTGAAAGTGCAGTCTGCAGTGCAGCCAATTCTTCTCCAGGCACAAACACAGCCCCTTTGCTCATTTTGTACTTGGTAGGTGGGGAGTTTATGTGCCACGCATACATTCAAGGCTATGGTGCCTGTTCCATGTTCAGTCATGCCATAGTGGAGTCCAGGCCATGCCAATGCAACCCTGACCCCCCACTTTTTGAAAATTCTTTGTTCAGGCTGTTTTTGTTCTCAAAATCGCCATAAAAACACCCACACTGCTGCACATCACAAATTCTCTGCCCACTCTCTTTGCCTCTTCCAAATCTCACCATGCTAGGATTGTTGTTGACAACGATTTATGGAAACCTTATGAGTAAGGGAACTCCATGTCTCTATGTTATCAACAGTCTTGCTCAATTCCTTTCAACCCCACCCCCCCAAACCCTCCCCCAAATGGCATAGGTGATGCCACATCATTTCCAGTTTCAGCACCGCAATTGCAGGGTGAACTGCTAGGTGGTTTAAAAGGGCTGCAGTGGTGGTTTAAAACGGCTCACACACCTGGTCCAGTTGCCCACTCCAAATGATTGTAAGATCTTGGCCATAGAATTCTGTCAAGCCATTTGCACTAATATGACACTCTTTGTTTTGAAGATGAACACATTTACTGTGGCATGGATCCCTCTGGCTGTGATTGGACAGTGTAAGAGTTCAGGAGGCAGCTCAGGAATCAAGACTTTTGCTGTGTTAACTTCTCCGAACAGCCACTCCATGGGTGGTGAATGGTAAGGAGGGAGCAGAGAAGCATGATCTCTCTTTGCCCCATTGCCAGACATAGACTAATAATAATAATAATAATAATAATAATAATAATAATAATACATTTTATTTTTAACCTACCTCTCTGCTAGGCAACCGGGGCTGCATACAACAGATTAAAACAATACATGGATAAAACACACCAATCAGCATTGATTCCCCTAACCCACCACACTGGTTCTTGGCCATGAAGTAGCTGCCCATAAATACTGTGGCAATTCTCTCTCAGCCTCAGTGATGATGATTGTCTTATCTGATTGAGTGACAGTACTCTCTTGCATCCCTGTTTTCATGACCTTGGACTAGCTACATTTTGGACTACTCTGTTTACTCCTTGCTTGCTCATGTAACATGATAACATCCGCTGAGGTCTTGTCATATGGTCATTGAGCTGCCTCTGGCTTTAGGGCTGCTCTGAGAAGAATAGATGCTATTCTGGTGCCCTGTGGAACATGGAACAGGGTGCCCTAACTGCTCCCCTGGACCACTCAGATGAGGAGATAGAGGAGGTAGATTGCCAGGAATCTGCAGCTCCTGATAGTGGAGCTCTCTCTGAGTCTGATGTGACGGGGTCTGGGGCACTAGGGGACTCTGTTCCTCAGCAGGAGTTGACAGAGGCTGCAGACACTGAAGATCCATCCTTTGTTGAGCACCAGAGAGAGAAACACTGATCCCAGTGCCTGTTAAGAAATTGACATGATTAGACACTACTTAGACACCTGTGACCTTGAAGTTGTTGTTGTTGTTGTTGTTGTTGTGTGCCTTCAAGTTGTTTCTGATTTATGTTGACTCTAAGGTGAACCTATCATGGGGTTTCATGGGGCTGAGAGCATGTGACTTACCCAAGGTCACCTGGCAGGTTTCCATGGCTGAGCGGGGAGTCAAAGTATTAGTTGCACACCCAAAACACTACACCACACTGGTTCTTGGCCATGAAGTAGCTGCCCATAAATACTGTGGCAATTCTCTTTCAGCCTCAGTGCTGATGATTGTCTTATCTGATTGACTGGCAGTACTCTCTGGCATCCCTGTTTTCATGACCTTGGACTAGCTACATTTTGGACTACTCTGTTTACTCCTTGCTTGCTCATGTAACTGGACTTTAGACCCACTGTAGTTACTTTTGGACCAGCTGATGATCACCTTGTGCTTCTCCCCTTATCTTGCTCAAATGAATTGGACTGAACCAGGGGTAGGCAACCTAAGGCCTGGGGGCCAGATGCGGCCCCCCCAAGGCCTTTGGACCGGCCCCAGGCTGGTCCTGCCACCGCCGCCACCGCCCCCCATGATGATATTGATTATTGTTGTTATTACTTGTTCTTGGGGTTTTCTTGGCAAAATCTCCATAGGGGTTTCGCCGTGGCTTTTCTGGGGCTGAGAGAGTGTGCATGCATATTTCTTTATTATTTTAATATTTATTTATTTGTTTTTAGTGCTTCAGCCCCCCAATTGTCTGAGGGACAGCAACCCGGCCCCTTGCTCAGAAAGGTTGCCTACCCCTGGACTGAACTGTTTGCCCAACAGCATTTATACACCAACCATCTGCTCCCTTGAGCACTTGCTGACTTGTGTTCAGGACAGAGAATTCCAGTCTCTGCAACAACCAAAAATAGTCATATGACAGTGTAAGATAAGGTTATGCTTGTATATGACACTAACTGGTTGCTGTCTTTTGTGTACAAGAGTCAGCAGTGATGTATTTAAGTCTCTCCCTTCCAGTCTCAAGTCAAGTCTCAAATCCTTGCAAGATACAGTGTACCCTTGGTATCCGTTGGGGTTTCGTCACAGGACCTCCCATGGATACCAAAATCTGTGGATGCTTAAGTTTCATTAAATACAAAGACATAGTACAATGCTATCCCTTATATAAAATGGCAAAAATCAAGGTTTACCATACTTTTTGGAATTTATATATTTTGTGAATATTTCCAAGCTGTGGATGCTTGAATCAGTGGATAAAGAATATGTGGATACAGAAGGCAAATTGTACTTTCAAGTCAAGTCTCAAGTTGAGTCTCAATTCTGGGAGCCAACTTTAACAGAAAAAGAGGAGGTGGTGTGTGTGAATGGACGTTATCACACGCGGGTCTCAAAGCGGCAAGAAA